TTTTGCCAGCCTGGCAATTTCTTCAGTTCCAATGACTGCTCCCGTGCGTAAGGTTGAACAACTTTTTATCCGAATCTTTTCTTTTCCATTTTTCGTATACACTATATAAGACTAATCCTTGTTTTTATATTTCCATAATAATATATCACCATCAGCTATATAACATCAGTTCAAATACTATTTCCTAAAATAATATCATAATAATTTTCAAAATGTCTTAAAAACAGAGATTCTTAAAAAAAAATTTAGAATATTTTTAATACTATATTTTGGTGTTTAACAGTTCTTAGAACTCTACGTAAACATTGTCTTTATTTCCTACACTTAAAAAAAGCGTAATTCAAATACTACACAAAGTTAATTGAACTATAAACCCGAGGATAAATAAAATAAAATAAATAAATATTATAGATATAATATATATATATATTAAATAATATATATTTTTGTAATATTTAGAATATTAGTAATTTATTTAATTTCGTCTAAATTTTATTTCATTATTTTTTATTGAGACTTTTGAAGTGTTTTGAGTAGAGAATTTTATTATAATTTTTTTTTAATATGTTATTAAAATGTTATTAAAACATTGGTTTAAAATTTCCCTGTAAATGAAATTTTAAGTTAACAAAATTTATAAAACAAATCAATTTTGTTTTAAGATATTTTTAAGAAATGTTTGACAGTAAATACTTAAATGATAATAAATACTGAAATACATTAAATAAAATTTACTGTCAATATTTATGTATTATATATATTATTTTATGGTAATAAATTATACATAAATACTTTAAGTTCAATTGTTTTGTATTTCTTATTTTTAATTTGATAAATTTTGTATTTAATAGCAGTAGAGCATGGCGTTTTCGTCATATTGATTAATACCTGTACTTGTTTTCCATTGGCGCGTTTAACTTTCTTTTTGTTTTCCCATTTCGTTTCATATTTTTTCTCACATTTTTTGTTTTTTTTTTGTGTTAATTTTTTTTTGCAAACTTCTATCAACTTGCCCACATCTTCAGCTTGTAGTTTGCCGCGCACGTCCCCACGCCTCCTGCTTGCCTGCTCCTCCGCTCTTGCCATTCTTCAGGACTGTGCGCTGTTCTTCTCCGTTCTGTTTTGTTTGTTTCTTTATCGCGCATTTACCAAGTGCCAAAGTTTTCTCGTTATAAGTTTTGTAGCCTTTGTGTGTCTCTCGCGCGCTCATCTCGCAGTTCGCGCAGCTCTCAGCTCGGCAGCTCGCAGTTTGCAGCTTCGAAAACTTTCGATATTTCTTCCAAAGTTTACGGGCTCTGCGATTTCGGGGCTTTGCTTTGCTTGGCTGGCTGCAAAATAAGAAAAAAATTATATAATATTATATTATTTTATTGTTGTTTGGCTGGTGCATAACTTTATGGCAAACACTCCCGTATTTTTCTTCTCTTGTTTTTTTCTGCTTTCTTTTTTTGGGCTCGCATTATGCTGGCTAAAGTTTCGCGGAGCACAAATAAGTAGAAACCCTGCCGCAGGAAGTCGAACTCCTCTGTGTGTGTTTGTGTGTGACCCGCACGGCCATAACTTTGGCTCCATTTGCTGCGCCATTTTGCTTGCAACACCCAAATGGCAGCAAGTTGTGGCAGCTCGCAGATAAGCCAAAGTATTTCCAGCTTCGCATGCAACTGTGCAAAGTGCACTTTAAATTCTTGCAAATGACTAAGCTGACTAGTCTCGATGCTGCTCAATGGATATGCCTGGATATCCTTTTGCTCCTGAGCTGATTCCTTCTGAGTTTGCAAATTATCATTGGCTTTGCTTAGGTTAAAGTTTTGATGACATTTGGCATTGCAGAATTCTGATGGTGCGTTCTTGAATTGGAAAATGAACTGTTGAATTGAATGAATAAATTGCAGTTAAAAATAAGCGAAATAAAAGTTGAAAATTAATTATTTTAAATAAATATGTAAATATAAAACATTTATAGAGATAAAAATAAAAAATTAATTTGGAAAATAAAATATATTTGAATCAAAAATAATAAAAAAATTGTATATATAAAAAAATATTTATTGAAACAAAAATAAAAAAGTAGTTTATTTAAATAAATAAAAAATATGTTTTAATACTAAAATTTCGAATTCTATATGAATGCATATGGATTCTTAGGAAACCTTTCTTAATCTGTGAATTTTGCCTATTCCAAAAAATTGTAGGAAAAGTCCTGAAAAAATTTTTAATACTAGGGTGGCGCAGCCCCTATTCCTCAAACCTAGTCTTCTGAGATAATTTCCTGTTTCTGAAAATTGAAGCAGTACATCAAAATGTGACAAAGTGATGAACAAGATCACAAAATATAATGATGATTTAAAGTGCTTTGAGGTTTCGAAAACAAGTGATTGTAATTATAATGGATAAAAGCTGGAATATTCTATAAATATTTCTATACAGTATTATATTGAATAAGAAGTTTGACTTCAAAAAATATAAAAAAAAATTCTTTTTAGTTACTCTCTTATATGTATAATACAATAAACATTCTTGAAGTGATTCACAACTCACACACAATTCACGCCCAAGTTTTATATATATATAAATTTTGAAGAACAATTTCCATTATAATTGTTCGCAATGCGGAGGGCAATTATTGGTAGATTTATGGTCAACACTATTTGGCCTTAATGTTGCCAATTGGCTAGTGAATTACCGAAAAGCGGAAGTATTACCAGATCCATGGCATATGCCAAAAGCGCTGCACAATATGGCGAACATTTATATAAATTGCATTTATTTAAATGGCTGCGACAACAATTAATTTGCAATAAAAGATAAGTAAACAATAATAATGATAATGATGATGATGATGCGTAATTATTGCTGCCCAAGTGGGCGTGTGCCAGGAGATTTATTGTGCCAAACACACACACACAGCAAGCAGGAACTAATTTTCAAGGTCATTTGAATGCGCAAATAGAGACACTGAGTGAGACTCGAGAGACTGAATTGACATTGGCAGCGCCATCCTTTTGTTGTTAATGTTTATGATAATCACAACAATAGACCAGTTGCCATTGTTATTGTTAAATTGTTGTTGTTGCTGCTGCTGCTGCTCGAGCGTAACCCATAAATACTAGACGCAGTCAAAACAATTGCACAGACGACGCGACATTTATAGACAATAACAAGGCAAATCGACGCAATCGATAGGCACTTTGATATGGCCCGCCATACAAAATGGAACCCGTCCGGGCAGCCCCTGCTCTCTCCGGCTGCTGCTGCCCAGCTACGTGCTGGCAACTATTGTCCGTGCTGCTGGCGTCGTTGTCCTTTTCGCAGGCGTGCAGCAAATGGCATAACTTCCGTTTTTGCTTTGTCGCTGAAATTACGGAAATTATCAATAAATATGCGAGACCAGCCCCGCCACAAAATATAAAGCTCCCGCCCTCCCCACTCCATGCTCAACTCCTCACGCCTCTCTTGTATCTAGCCATCTATCTAGCTGCCTGCGCCCACTGACAAATATTCGTACGCAACTGGCAAAAATTTTCGTGCTCGCCTGATTTTTATGCTGCATGGCGTCCAGTTTTTGTGCTCTGTGCTGCATGAACCGGAAGCATCATTATCATAAATTATCATTTTGTAGGAATTGCATCCGTTCTGACCCACCAGCATCAACAACAACAACAACAACAACATTGACAATTTCAATTGCCTCACTCCCCCCACCCACTACAATCACAAATTTCTGCATTTTCTGTCGCGCGCAACTCGCTTTCCCATTGACATTCATTTAACGCCCGAAATATTTTTCTAGTCTAATTTATGGGTTGACCAATAAACCAGCGGCCATATTTAAGTGATTTTCTTTTATTGTATTTTAGCCGAGCCCATTCAAATTGTCAAGGGTGAAATGCTGTAAATAAATATTGGACAAAAATAGCATATAAATTAAAAAAGAAAATATTAAATTTTATTTGAAATTTATTATCTATCCATATGTAAACGATTTTACGTAAATATTTTAAAAATATAAGTATAAATATTTATATACATATCTATATATATTGTTTTCACATTCAAAACAATAAAAATTTTTTAAATTTACTGACTTAAATATTTAAAAAAAAAAAAAAATATATATATATATATATATATATATAAATATAATAATAATAACAAAAAATATATAATAATAATAATTTTTATAAACATAAAATATATAAGAAAAATATAATTAAACAAATATAACAATATTAAATATTATATTATTATTGATTTAAAATTATTATTGATTTAAATATTATTGTTTTAAATATATAAAATATTGTTTGAATATTATAAAAAAGTTCTAGCTGCAATAGCTTCTTTTTAAGATTGTATTTTTTGGTTCCTTAAATTTTATAAGTAAATTTTTGCAAAAATGTAGAAATATCTTAGTTTTAGCTTTATCGGCTTTCAACTTCGATAAACGTTAAAATTATCACTGTTGAAATATTTATGATTTACACAAGCTAATGGGACTCACTCAGTTGGATTCGAGCTGCATCCTGAAAGTAGCATATTTTGGTGTCTCGTATTACAAACAGTTTGAATCTATTTAGTTCACTCATTTGATAATCAATCTGTTAATATGCAGAAACAGTCACTCGAGTTATCATGTTTATATATGCACAATAAATAAATAAAAACTCTAATTAAATTTCTCAATGACAAATAATGTAAAAGTTCCAAGTGTACGTTGAATGTAAATAAAAATGCATAGTCTAAAATATTTAAAAGAAGAATTCACTTTGAGATCAATAACGAATGTCACGTACGGCGCTCAGCTGCAGGGGCAGCGCGAATGATTCAGCTCGAACGGATGCAGAACCCGCTGAGAATGCGACGTGATTGAGGCTGCGCCCTGGAAAAAGTAGAAAGAGAAGGTGGAAGAGAAGTCAGGCAGCTACAACGGTACGATGAAACGAATGAATCATTTATGTCATATACAAATACAACTTTTTACAGAGATATATATATGTGTAAATGTGTGTGTGTGTGTGTGTGTGTGTGTATCTATAGATTATAGATGTATATGGTTGGAGGCAATTGGTGGGCGTCTGCGATTCGTTATTGAGCCGCAGCCTTGCATGCCAGCACGTCAACGGGCATTAGGTGAGGCGGCCTCTGTATTGCTAGCATTGGAGCTGAGGCTGGAGCCGAGGCTGGGGCTGCCGTTAAAGTTGCTGTAGATGCGTTGATAGCATATGAAACAGGCCAACAATATAAACACATAGTTCACATAGAGCACAAAGCCCATCATCAACGCGTCGTCCCGTATCAGTATATCATGATTACTATAAGATATTAACACCACAGATACCATTAGGATCAGTACGCTCAGCACGAACAGCAACAGGGCCAGATCTATCAGAAATGGCAAAAAGCATATCGTGCACACGGCCAATAGAACAAACACCTGTAACAGGCCCAATACGGCCAGCCCAGCCAGCTTATAGGGATTCGGAAAAATGTAAGCGCTAATGACAAAAAAGCACAACACCAAGACGCAGCCACAGGTCAATACCGATGCTGAGACCAAGGTCATCGTATGCTGAAAATTGACATTCATCAGGAATGTGCCCAATCCTATGGTCGTCAGTTCGTAGCACAGGCCAATCGCCAGCCAGCTCCAGGGCCAGGCGTATTTCAGTGTGTCGCTCTTCTGTATTACGCTCAGCATCAAAAATGATCCAACGAAACAGAGCAGCGTGTAAATTAAATAGTCGTTCGATGCGAACATCGATAATACCATCCACTGCGGCATGGCCAACATTATCAAATAAGCGTCCACGTAGAGCGTGTTCTTCACAAAGGTTCGCAGTCCCACGCAGAACTGGCAGAGATCATCGGACATGTTGCTCATGTTGCCTGTTCGACTATAGCTTTTTCTCAATTTTGCTTCGCAGTTTTTAATTGATTTCTTATAAAATATAAGACAGTTTTATTAATACATAGTTATTTTATATATATATATTTTTTGAGTAATAAAACAATGTTAAAATAGTGTAAATAAAATTGTAATAAAAAGCTTGGCATATACTCTAAAGTATACATAGTTTTATGTACATTTTTTTATATATATATTATAATATATTTAAAGAATAAGTTATGTGGGCCTTGGTGCTTTAAAACTCTATACTACGTTTGTTTTGAAACAGTTGTCTATAGCAGCTCATTCTCTGAGAGCAATTGTAGGTTTTACTGGTATATTGGTTGATTTAAAAAATGTATATTGGTTTTAATCACTATCCGTAAGCTAGAGAAAGTCAAACATATTGATAGTGGTTTTCCGACAAGCTCACTAGGTATATAAGTCTATCTTACAGAATTTTACGACTTTATCTTCAATCTTCAAATTTTGCAAGTTAGCTAACTGCAGATTACCTCTGAAGACTTACCACAAATTATTAAACTGTTTTTGGAACCAGTATACACAACACTTTTGCTTGTTTCTTGTATTTCTAAGCCCTTCCAAAATGTTATGAAATATCATTTAAATTTTTTCAAAATATTTATTGTGGTGGTGGCTATCAAAAATCTCGTAGATTGTGTAATTTGTATTTCTCATTTCTAGTTCAAAGTTTACAGTTATAATTTTAAGAAATTATAATGATATGGAAATCTTTGAAACTTAAGATTGAAAATTCAGATTGCATTTTATTTATATATTAATAATAAATCACATAAAATAAATATAACTATAAGCTTGAAAGCACTCAATAATTCATTGAATAAAAATTATTTTAATTTTAAAATATAAAATAAAATATATATGCAATAAATAAATTTAAAATAAGAATTAAGCCAACAGTAAAATTAATTACAATTAATAATAAAAAAGCACACACAATCAACTCGAAATCGCAATTAAAAAAAAATTTATTACAATTAATAATAAAAAACATACATTAACACTATTCATAAGACCCAATTTCAGAGAAATTTAAATGTTATAACAAGTAATTCGCATCCGTGTTGTCCTTCTCTAGTCATCGTCGTCAAAACAAACCGACATGTTGGTCGAAAAGCCCTCGACACAATTTCGAAACTAGCACAGAGCTCCTCCGCTCCACAGCCTGCCCTCCAACTCTGGCTGGGAAAAGCCGCAAAAGTGCCGACTACTTCGTACCTCAAGTTTTTTTTTTGGACCAACAAATTGAGGCCGAAAGAAAGCAAAGAAAAAAATAAAATTGGGAAGCCGAAGCCTTACGATAAAACGCAACGTAACATAAATTGAAAAATTTGTCGCATAAGCCGACGACCGCATGAAGGACCAAGAACACGCACACACACAGCACAAGGACACTTGAGCGGCCGAAAGTTCTTTGAAGTTGGACTAAAAAAAAATAAATAGAGTGAGCAAGAGGCTGCGTCCTGTGGGCGGGCGGGCAGTTTGTCTCCAAGGAAATAAAACGTAATAACAAAATCAATCTGCGGCTGCTGCTGCTTTCTGGTCCGGGCGCAGCTTTAGCTTTGTCAAAAATGCTGAAGTCCAGACTGGCAAAAATGCAAAGCATGTTGTGAAAGGAAATTAATGGTATATGAGTAGATATAATGAAATGAAAATAAAAATCAAACTGAAGGAAAATCGTGTAAAAAATCCAATCAAATAAGTGAGACCCCAAACGTGAACCTGTGCAACGTTTTGTCTCAAAACTTAATTGAAAACTCGCTTAAAATTGCTAACGTATTTTTTTTTTGTTTAATTTTTTATATTCTTCCGGCGCTCTGGCTCCCCCTATCGCTATCACTCGCTCGCTCATAATTACAAACGATTAAAATCTGTGGAAATTTATGAAATTCCATAAATCAGTGGACGCTGAGCGCTTTAGCCGGGGCAATTCCTTTGACAATTATAAATTATGCGTCGGCCTCGGCCACTGAAGGGTAAATTGCTTAACCACAAAAATGTCACCAGGGTTCGCTTTCCGTGTGGGTGGAGTGGGTCGCTAGGCGAGACGAGGCGAGCTGAGCGTGGCCCATCCAACTTCCGTGTAGTTTGCATATGGCGATAGAGATCTTTACCCTACTGAATAATATAATTATTATTATTTACAACATTTTTATATTCCACCACCAACATAGAAAACAGCAGGATTTCTATATAAATATATGTACATATAGAGATTTATGTACCCTACATAAATTGATTGTGTTTGCAACTTGACAGTGCAACGATGCGTTAATCTGAAGTTCGCTTCAGGTTGTTGCTGGCAACCTGTTGTTGTCGAGCCCAGGCAACCACAAATCCATCTGCCCAATTAGTCGGTTTTATGACTTCCAATTTTTGTACACACCTATTGATGGGAGTGTGCAGCATTTTTAATGGGGGTGCTAACGAGCTGGCTCAAATGCATGATTGGCAATTCAAGAAAAAACTGCATAAATTATTGATAACATTTTAGAGAAAATTGTTTTATATGCAAATAATGCTTAGCTTAATTTTATATTCAACAATGAGTTAGATTTTTAAGAAAATGTAATAAGTGGTATTAATTATATTTTATATATATCGAATTGCGAAACTTTATAACGGAAGGATTATTTAGTTAAACATTTAGATTATTTAATTAAATATTTTTTAAGGATTTTTTAATTATGTTTAATTTTTAAAATAAACTATAAATAACAAAATAAATACAATTAAAAAAATATTAATTATTAATATTAATTGCAGAATATTATGTAATTAATATTTATTTTAAGAATTTTGTTTTTAATTTTAATTTTTATTTATGGCTCAAATATAAATATATATATAAAATTAAATTCATTTACTCCTTTTTGTATTTCTTATCTCTTAATTCCCCTATTTCATTGTTTCTTTCATATAAGAACTTGCAGTTTATTTATTTTAAACAACTTTCCTTTCTGCAATCTTTTGGCCAGCCAACATAATTTAGCATACATTTAATAAATGTTTATGAATTTTTGCAAATCTCATCATTTTCACATTGTTTCAAATTGCATTGCCTTATGATGTATTATATAATTCTATTTAAATCAATTATTTATTTCATAGCATCTAAGACTTAAAGCTTCTTATAAAACATCGAATTTCTGCAGCTTAATAGCAAACACGCAGCATCTTTTATTAAACAAATGTCTCAACATCAGATTTACACACAAGATTCTGTGTCTCCCTCTCGCTCTCTCTCTCTTAGCCTCACCCAAATGTCATCGCTATAAATAATTGTTTGTGCTGGAGCTTAAAACAACAGAAGTTGGGCAACCTGTTACAAGATGCACAGATAAGGCTAACAGCCCAGTCGGCCATTCAGCCAGTCGACTTGGTCATAAAATACAGGAATAATCAACTTTAAATCTAACGATTTACAACAGAAACTCGGGCCGGTGCGGGGCACGTCGTCTCATCAACTGGGCAAAGCGGATTTTCGAGCATATTTACAGGCGGCTTAACGTGCGTGAGGGTTGCATTTTTCGATTAAAGGCACAGAACATGGCACTGATACAGATAAGCTACAAAATTTACATACATCAAAGAGTTGTTGCATGAGCACAAAAAACACACACACACACACACACAGAAGAAAACGAGGGTGTGCGTGTGTGAGCGCGCAAAAACTTGACATTTTGCACTTGGTCAGGCATGGACAGTAGAAGCAGTAGTAGGATATAGGGGTAGGGAGGCATGGCTGGTCTGAAGAGCTGCACAACTTATGGCGACATCGATAGTCCAAATACTTTGCTCGAAAAAAATATAAGAGAGAAAAAAACCGAAAAACCACTCGACAAGCTGTTGGCATACATACCATGCATTGAAAGACACTTCAAAGTATGCTACAGTTGCTGGCAAATGTCCCTCTCAACACACACATACACTCACACACACGCACGCATATGCAATCATATATCTACAAGCCTCAATACTCTAGCTCAGGCGCAGCTCGCTGTCCCCATAAAACTTGTTGTCCGCCCGTCATTTATCTTCACTGCGTTTCTTTTTTCGGTTTTTTGACCCAAAAAAAATAGAAGACAAAAAATTCTTTGGTTTGTCGCAATGCTAATACCCTGCTAGGTAGCTGCTAGTGTGCAACTGTTATAACTATATAACTGTTTAACTGTGTATGTAACTATACTATATGCTTTTATATATATATATATATTTTTTTTTTTTAAGAATAATATTATATTATTTCTTATTATTAAATATTCATTTGTTATTTCTTCTTTTAAGTTTTTTTTTTTTTAATATAAATAAAATAATATCACAAATTAAATCTATAGCAATATATGTTATAGGATTTAGATTTTTGCTTATGTCTTAATAGGGCAACAATGAATAGTTTATTATAAGAAGGTTAATTCGACGTGTTCATAGTCGCCTTTTAACACTTTAGCCAACATCAAAAAAGATTTCAAATTTGGAATCTGCAGTATCTCATAAATTTGTACTATCTATCTATATATCTAGTACTTTGTTCAGAGCTCTGTGCTTAATATTTCAACAATTGTAACCTAAATTATTTATGAAATATAATGTTTTTATATGAATTAAATGGTCTAACATTTGCAGTCTTACAATTAGTTTCTATACATTAAATTCCAGAATTGGTATTAATACTAATTTTATTATATTTTTCTACTGCATTTTTTAACATTTAATTATTTAAATTAATAGTCATCATTTGACAACTAAATATATTTGTATAAAAATATTTCTTATATTATATATTTTTTATTTTATTGTATTTTAAAATAATTTTTTAATTCAACTGACATTTATATATATGTATATATATTTTTTTATTGTTATTTATATTTATATTTATATTAATATTTATATTTCTTATTTATATACCTATGTTATGTACTCGCAATCATATTGAAGCTACCTTTGGTTAGTGTATATAAAAACACATTAACTAGAGTTTTCGGCCACTCCATGTCTTGTGTTCTTTTCCTCTTTTTATTGTTGCT